TGGTGCTCCAGTTTTTCCATTTTTGCATTATGTATCATGAATATTGAATGACTCTATATATATGTGTGGCTTGAATTATATATATTTTTTTCCATACAATTGGCATCAAGATTAAGGCTTTTTAAACTGCTTATATACATACTATATACACACCCATATACGTATGTATATATTTTGTTTCATGACTATATTTTTAATGCATTGCAGGTTTGAAAGAAAAGGTGATGATCTATACACCAATGTCACATTGTCTCTTCAAGAGGCATTGCTAGGGTTTGAGTTGGACATTGAACACTTGGATAAGCACAAGGTATGTTGAAAACAGTAGAAGCAGACTGTGGAAGTTTAGCTTACGTAAATGATGCATACTGTATGTAGCTTAGTATTTAGTTCTATAAGGTATTATTAAAGCCTTCCAGAGTGCTGCTTTGTCTTCAAGAGTTCACTTTTGCAGGTTCACATTGTACGAGAGAAACCCACATGGCCTGGGGCTCGAATCCGCAAGAAGGGAGAGGGGATGCCCAATTATGAAAATAACAATCTGTTTGGTACTTTATATATCACATTTGATGTAGAGTTCCCCAAATCTGAATTTTCACAAGCAGACAGAGATGGTAAGTTCTTTTATTTATTTATACAAGTCATTCCTAACCTTTTTACACTTGACCCCTTTCTCAAATATCAAACACATCCACTACGTATTTTTAAAAGAGACCAAGAAACAATATTCAGGAGTCTGTTCAAGCTTTATTACCAAACTGTAATGTAGTATCCTCTCAAAGATATGGCACAAATATATTTGTAGCATGAAAACTGATAAATGCCTAACAAATTGGCCTTTGATACTTTTCCTCAAGGCTTCACAACCCTCTTGCTGACTGTGACATATCTTTGGGAATCACTGATATATATGTAAATATATATTTTTTGCTCTCTCTACCTTTTCTTTTCTTTTTTTCTTTTCCATTCTTTTTCTTTTTCCTTTTTTTTTCCTTTCTTTTCTCTTCCTTTCTTTCTTTACTCCTTTCTTCCCTCAAATGGATTACTATTCTTCTTGAATTTAATGGAACTTTGCATTTGCATATTTGGTTTTGATTTATTGATTTGTAGAGGACAGACATGAATTAGATATGTTATTAAAATTTAGAGATTTAACACATAAAGATTAAAATTATCGTATCCTAACATGAATTTTTTCTTTTTTTCCACAGAGCTATCAAGGATATTGAATCAAGAATCCATAGGCCATGTATACAATGGCCTAAGGGGGTACTGATCTCAGCAATAAACTAGGGCTTTTGTATATGTTGTTATTGTATTTATGTGTGGGGATTGTCTAAGAATAATACCTGAGAATGAATGGTCACTTTTGCGTGCATTATTCAGCACATTCGAATTTTGTAGGAATGAAGTTGAGATTTCTAAGTTTAAAAACACTTTACAAAATTGCAGTACACAGTTTACAGTAACATCTTTTTCAAATGAATATTCATCTTGGTACAAGTGTATGATTTTGTTGCTTTGATATCAGTATCAAGGAAGTTATTTTTTTAATGCTTTGTTAAGTATCATTATAATGTAATACTCTTTCTTTTCTATGTCTTGAGAGAGAAGTAAACTCAGGTTTGAGGATCATATACTTTTGTATTTGGTAATTGTTTAATGACGTTGGCACAATGAATGTTGTATTCATACGAGAAAGAAGCATACATTCTCACATTGTAGATTTTATTTTCCATTAATATTATTTTTATCATTATTGTTATTATTGATATCACAAATTATTGAAATTAAAGACTCTTTATTTACAAAATCCTTATTGATTAACCCACTCACTGTCAAAGAAATCTGTAGACTATCAGAAAAATTTAAATTTCTCATAGTATGCATATATATATATATATATATATATATATATATATATATATATATATATATATATATATATATATGTATGTGTGTGTGTGTGTGTGTGTGTGTGTGTGTGTGGTGTGTGTGCATATGTGTGTATAATGTATGTATGTTTGTGTGTGTGATATATATATGTACATAAACATACACATACACTTATGCACATACATACACATATAAACATACATATACACATCCACATACACACACACACACACACACACACACACATACATATATATACACACATATATATACACACATATATATACACATATACACATATACACATATACACACACACACACATACATACATATACACACATACATACATACATATACACACATACATACATACATATATACACATACACACATACATACATACATACACATACATATACATACACACATACATACATATACACACATACATACATATACAAATGAAAATAAATATGTATAAATTTATATGATGCACAAATGGAGCAGTCTCAAGTACACCTACAGAAATTGGTTAATAAGAATGCCATTTTTGGTGAATGTTTTTTCAGAATATTTGAGTTGAGAAAATATTGATAGGTTCCAGACCTATAAGTTCATCCCATTGTATCCTCAATATACGAACTGCAAATTTTGTGCTTAATTACTTACAAAATGCATTGTAAGAAGAGGTATTCAAAGAAACTAGAGTGACAAGTAAGGAACCTAGCATAGTGTGTGGCAGACGGGCAGGCTTTCTGTTTTTGCTGTCATGTCTGTCTGTATGTGTGTGCGTTGATTTAGCCTGTGATTAACTATTTTTTTAGTCAGAACCATTGATATGTTATGGAAAACCAGCAGGAGAATTTGTGCTGCCCAGTTTATTAATTTGGATTTTCATAAGGTCGTGTTGTACTGTACTGTGCATGAGGTCTTCTAACTACTAGTACTGAGTCACATTGGACCAATCTTTTTTGGGCACTGTTCATAGATGTGTATTTTTTGTTTCCTTTTCATTAAGATGATGATATATTACTGTAAAAGTATGGGCTAGGAATTTTCTGTTGCAAAATGATTTTATCAGGACTGGAAGGACTGAATATATAATCATCAAATGTTATATTTGTGTGATGATATGCTTTTGGGATTTTTTGCATTCCACATTGAATGGATTTAAAATAAGCAGAATTATATATGACAGTGTATCCATGCCAAAACTTTTTTCTTTTTTTCATGGTTATAAACAGGGCTGAGATCAATTATTTTTTGGCCATTCAAGATCAGTTTTATTCATTTGTAAAGACCACATTTTCAACACTCATTCAGTTCAGCTCATTATGTTTGATACTACTTTTTCCAATTCAGAATCTATTTTGATTTATTCATTACCATTAAACTGGGGAAGGAAATAATAATGGTTTCAAATTTACAGCTTTTATCAAAAATGATGTACTACAAACCAGTTACATTTTTTACCAACTGAAAGTTTATTTTTTTATATTCCAGATATTAATTGACAAAATAAGAGAGTCCGACTTACAGATTATATGTCTTAGCATTGGTTGCTCAAATCTTTTGCCTCATAAACGCACTTCTTTAGTCTGAATGGCTTGCCAGTAATGACGCATATCCGCTCTGTTTAGCATTTTCTGTTAGAACAAAACAAAGGTACCGTTTGTAGAGTTTAATCCTACATGAAATTGATTATTGTTCAATAACTAATTTGCTGTTAGTTCAGTAAAGTTGATATTCATTTAGATAAAGGTGATTTTATTTTTACATTTTTTCAGTTCCATTTTAGTTTAGTTCAGTTCATAATTGCCCCTGCCTTGGTCACAGATATCTAAATGTACAGGTGCACAGTAGTAACAGGAGAGAGAGACCCTTCACCCTGTGCCCTTTTCCGTTACACAAAGCATAATTTGGAAAACAAATTCCTTGGGTAATGTAAGCACCAAAGCTGAAACTTGCATGGCCATTACTTGTGGAAGTAACTATGCTAAGTCAACTTCCTGATTGTAACTTTGAAGTATTGGGCATTTAATAAAGCATTTAATAAAAACATCTATAGTGGTATTGCTGTGATTTTATGAATGTTTGTTTTAATATGGAATGAGAACCTGAAAATGGAAGTAATCAGTATTTATTTTATTATCAATAGTGACAATTAATCACTGATACTATGCTCTTTATTTCACTTTGTCCATTAATGTTTGCATTTGACTTCTGATTATAGTGACAGTATTACAGTTAACGATTCTCCTAATATGGCATGGTTAATAATTATAGAAGTTATTTTTTTATCATCAATGATAATCATTAACATTAGGCTGTTTAGTTATTAAACTTAATTTTTTTTTCACTTCACTGATCATAGCAACAGTATTATAGTTAATGATTACCTTCTTTCACCTATTTATCCCTTTAAACTTTTCCATTCAAAGTCCTCTTTTATACCTTAAATTATCCTTTATTTCGGAAGTCAGGATATCAAGACTTGCTTAGGACCAAGTCGCAAAGTGTTTTGCAGGACACAGAAAGAAACATTCAAAGATCAATCATTACTTATCCTAAATGTTTGTTTCTGTACTTTGTCCTTTTTTAATGAACTGCTCAATCTAAGTTCTGTTTTGGAAAGTTTCCCAACAAAATTTTCATTCATATGTAAATATATGTATGTATATATATTTTTTTTAGCTCTACTCCCAGATAGAAGTGCATTGTGTGAAGAACATAACAATTCCTTGATACATCTGAAATGAAGTGGTAATTCTATTTTACTGGGAATGCCAAGATGAAGTATGGTGCACTGATAACTATGTAGAAAGTGTAGGAATGATAAACATTTATTTGATGTGAAATGAATGGATGTGTGTGTGCAGAGTGAAGGTATGTGAAAAATGGATTTATTAAAATGATGATAACATTGATTTTTTGTGTTTTTATCTTTCTTTCGCTGAAGTTCAAGAAATTAAAAAATAATAAAACAAAAAGAAATGAAACCAGTTGCTGAAGGGACCTTACTAGCTGTTTGCATTTCTCTTTTGTTTTGCTGTCTTGTAATGTGCATTATATAAAGAACACATTAGGCTGAAGAATCACGACTCAATTTTATAAAAAAAGATATATTTTCTATCTTGTTACATTGCCTCTGCAATTTTGCAAGAATTTTACATAGCAGACAAGAATTTAACATTATTCTAGATATTTTTTTCCGAAGGCTTCTTACGGATAAAAGTAAACCGACTGTTCACCACCTTACATGAATATAAAACTAGAGGATTTGTAATGGCATACGTCGTTTCAGAGCGGAAGCTGTATCA